GTCACAAGGTATTTAAGTCTTGATTAAATGTTTAAGTCAATTTAAACCACTGTGTTGACGTATGACGAAGATTTTGATTTTTAAAAAGAAAAAGAAATATTAAACTTGACGCATTATTTATAAAAAATCAAACTCAACTGCTGAATTAAATCTAAACCACGGATTTTTTATAGTACAGTGATATGGCCAGNACGTGGCAGTGTAGCCAACCTGGACAGAACAGACATGTTATGATGTTGTTGTTGTTTCTGGAAGGTTGGGCCGTGTGTTGCATATGAAATAAAGGGGTAAAATGGTAAAAGCATATGTTCATGTCCAAAAGTTAGTCCGGTTTCTCTCCTTTTTTTATCATAGAAATAATAAAGATAATGATTTGTAGGAATGTGTACCCCAATAGGCAAATTAGCTAGTGTGATCCAAAGCCTATATTTGCGACCAGTTACATTATTAAGCTTCCTTCGAGGCTAGAAGGTATTTCATTAATAATAATAATAATTGTAATTGATTGACTTGTGGCTAGAATATGAGAGTATCCACTCAAAAACTCTACATCTATACATTCATTTAGCCACCTAAAAACACATTACACACATGACATAAAAAGAAGAACCAAATCTACATCTACATCTACATACATGATAGGTGGACATTCTTGCTAATTTGTTACTAATTAATTTTTTATGATATTTTTTCACTCTTCTTCATCTTCCAAGTGTTAGAAAATGTGGAATACAGTTTTTGATTTGCAATTAATTGGTGTTAGGTTGGACACCTGTTAAAGAATTTGAATCGAAATGACATTCAGAGTTAAATATTACACAATTAGTGCCCAATGTTTGATACTGCAGAGTAACTTCATACATGAATTTTTTTGATTTGTCACAAGGTATTTAAGTCTTGATTAAATGTTTAAGTCAATTTAAACCACTGTGTTGACGTATGACGAAGATTTTGATTTTTAAAAAGAAAAAGAAATATTAAACTTGACGCATTATTTATAAAAAATCAAACTCAACTGCTGAATTAAATCTAAACCACGGATTTTTTATAGTACAGTGATATGGCCAGTGGTAGCAGTCAATAGCCATAGACTGGTGGATGAGTAGAATATATCATTGGGCCACTTGGTATGTTGCCTTTAGGAGCTGATTGGATGACATCTGCTGCTTGTATGATTGTCTCATCTTTCTATCTAGTTAAAAATAAAGCATAGGCAATCAATATAAATCAGATCAATTGTAATAACACCCCATGATATATGATTTTATTATGCAATTACCCCTTGATATTTTCAAAAAAAATGACAATAGATCCCAACATAATGTTTTATTTTGCGTTGTTATTGGTTAAGAGAAAATGTCCATGGAAGTTAGTCGAATGTCATGTCTCGCCCTATGAGATAGAGTGGCTTCAATGTTATGTGTGAATTCCAACCTTATCTCCCTCTCATTCATTCTTATATTCTTATATATATAATTACTGAAACTCGAGGAGTGTGCTCCAAATACACTTTTTGAGTTTATGTGTGTGTGNCATCTTCCAAGTGTTAGAAAATGTGGAATACAGTTTTTGATTTGCAATTAATTGGTATTAGGTTGGACACCTGTTAAAGAATTTGAATCGAAATGACATTCAGAGTTAAATATTACACAATTAGTGTCCAATGTTTGATACTGCATAGTAACTTCATACATGAATTTTTTTGATTTGTCACAAGGTATTTAAGTCTCGATTAAATGTTTAAGTCAATTTAAACCACTGTGTTGGCGTATGACGACGATTTTGATTTTTAAAAAGAAAAAGAAATATTAAACTTGACGCATTATTTATAAAAAATCAAACTCGATTGCTGAATTAAATCTAAACCACGGATTTTTGATAGTACAGTGATATTGGACAATACTCAACGCAATTACCACAAAATATACAGATTCCGAAATCAATACTGTAATTCAGCAATCGGCCCGTGGTAGCAGTCAATAGCCATAGACTGGTGGATGAGTAGAATATATCATTGGGCCACTTGGTATGTTGCCTTTAGGAGCTGATTGGATGACATCTGCTGCTTGTATGATTGTCTCATCTTTCTATCTAGTTAAAAATAAAGCATAGGCAATCAATATAAATCAGATCAATTGTAATAACACCCCATGATATATGATTTTATTATGCAATTACCCCTTGATATTTTCAAAAAAAATGACAATAGATCCCAACATAATGTTTTATTTTGCGTTGTTATTGGTCAAGAGAAAATGTCCATGGAAGTAAGTCGAATGTCATGTCTCGCCCTATGAGATAGAGTGGCTTCAATGTTATGTGTGAATTCCAACCTTATCTCCCTTTCATTCATTTTTATATTCTTATATATATAATTACTGAAACTCGAGGACTGTGCTCCAAATACATTTTTTGAGTTTATGTGTGTGAGNTTATATTCTTATATATATAATTACTGAAACTCGAGGAGTGTGCTCCAAATACACTTTTTGAGTTTATGTGTGTGTGAGAGAAAGAGATTTAAGAAATTGTGTTGTTATGATGACAATGCCATAAATGAACATGTAATTATTTGTGAGATTGCTTATTTATTAATTTTTGTTGGTTNATTAAATCTAAACCACGGATTTTTGATAGTACAGTGATATTGGACAATACTCAACGCAATTACCACAAAATATACAGATTCCGAAATCAATACTGTAATTCAGCAATCGGCCCGTGGTAGCAGTCAATAGCCATAGACTGGTGGATGAGTAGAATATATCATTGGGCCACTTGGTATGTTGCCTTTAGGAGCTGATTGGATGACATCTGCTGCTTGTATGATTGTCTCATCTTTCTATCTAGTTAAAAATAAAGCATAGGCAATCAATATAAATCAGATCAATTGTAATAACACCCCATGATATATGATTTTATTATGCAATTACCCCTTGATATTTTCAAAAAAAATGACAATAGATCCCAACATAATGTTTTATTTTGCGTTGTTATTGGTTAAGAGAAAATGTCCATGGAAGTTAGTCGAATGTCATGTCTCGCCCTATGAGATAGAGTGGCTTCAATGTTATGTGTGAATTCCAACCTTATCTCCCTCTCATTCATTCTTATATTCTTATATATATAATTACTGAAACTCGAGGACTGTGCTCCAAATACACTTTTTGAGTTTATGTGTGTGTGAGAGAAAGAGATTTAAGAAATTGTGTTGTTATGATGACAATGCCATAAATGAACATGTAATTATTTGTGAGATTGCTTATTTATTAATTTTTGTTGGTTAAAAGGGTGGTCGGAAGCAAATAGGTATAGTAACCCATAAGACGTTATTTTGAAGTTTTCAGACATTGTAGAATGTTCAATTTAAGTTATAACTNTTAAAAGGGTGGTCGGAAGCAAATAGGTATAGTAACCCATAAGACGTTATTTTGAAATTTTTAGACATTGTAGAATGTTCAATTTAAATTATAATTNTGCTTATTTATTAATTTTTGTTGGTTAAAAGGGTGGTCGGAAGCAAATAGGTATAGTAACCCATAAGACGTTATTTTGAAGTTTTCAGACATTGTAGAATGTTCAATTTAAGTTATAACTATAAATTTAAGATGGTCGAGTTCGTTATCATAGTACCACCAAAGACAAGTTGGACATTCAGCTCTTCCAATTGTATCTAGTTTATAAAAACTACTATTACAAGTGGATCGAACCATGCCTATTGGGGCGAGATTTTCGTTTTCTACTAAAGTCAACTAGGTTACCACTTTAGTGATTGTGAGATTGTTCATTGTTGTATGGTGTTGGATTCTTATTATGAAGATTTGCATTTTGATAATACTTACTAATTATAAGTCATTATTCACCTGCCAACCCATCATCTTTTATAACTTTTTATTTGAATTTGGAAACTGGTAAAATCTCAAAAAAAAAAAAAATCTCAAAATAATTGTAATTTTTTTTTCCCACAGTTATGATACATTCAATATAACTGCTTTGAAAATTTTTTTTTATGTGTGGTATATGCTTGAATTTAATGTGGATCAAAAGATCTGTTAAATAATTTAGTGATTGTGCTAAGTCAACAATAGTAACCATCTATGTCTGGTAGATTTAGATATATAATAATCAAACCAAGTCAAACCCCATCTATTAGGGCCTAGCTAGGCAGAATTTACACACCATTGTTGATCTGTCCTCCCATGTGGCTAAATTATTATATTCAATCAACTTCAATCAATGGTGGCCTACCTAATCAATACATGGTATCTTCAAGCTTCATAACTCTTAGGTTCATATAAATATTCAGCTAATTTTAATTTATAGGTCCACATAAATATTTTGTAGCCTTATCCCCCTTGTTTTATTAGTGCCAATATGAATTAGATTAGGACGTGTTTCGTTTAAGCATTGTGATTTGAAATGAGCTAATTCAATATAGTTGGAACTAAATATCAATTTTTGTCGAATCTTCACTAAGTTTTGTTTATATGCCTTGGTCCTAGTGCGTGAATGATAACACATATATAAGATACAAATGAATCATAAAAGTAGTTCAAGTAATAACAAAGGTACAAATGGTAAACTTAGACGTCGTGAGTTATAATCTTAGCAACCTCTTGGACCAAGTCATGAGAAATTTATCCCTCATGAATACCTTAGTCTTTGGACTTGGGAGGGAATTAATTGAGGTATATGTAAGTTAGTCCAGACACCCTTAATCGTCGAAAAAAAAATTTCATGTAGAAAGTGGTATAAAATTACATCCAATTGATATTAGATGCTGGAATAACCATATTAATTATCCCAATATTTTGCTATTCCCCAATATATTCAACAATGCCACGGTCACACACGTATCCCTTCCAAGAAGAACTTTCAGAAGACACAAAAAACCTTATCTTATAAAGAAGAATGGCAGTGCTCAGCCTCAGAGAGTGACTTATCCACATTGGACTAAGACTATATTCAGCTGAGCAACAGTGGTGAAGCTTTTAGCAGCCATGGCAGCCTTGAGCTGCAATTTTAATCCAATAAATCATGAGAGTTGTGTAAAAGCCAAAACCACCAGGCTTTCCACCTCTTGCTCAATGCAGCCCTCTCAAAACAACATCAAGGTGATACTTTGATGTCACTCCTATTTCAAACATAATTTAGTTTTTTGTTCGCAGAAACTAAGGTACCTCTCTCTCTCTCTCTCTCTCTCTCTCTCTTTATATATATATATATATATATATATATATATATATATATATATCTTGCTTGGAGAATAGGTAGTCATAAATGGAGCAGCCAAAGAAATAGGGAGGGCAGCTGTAGTTGCAGTGACAAAAGCTAGAGGGATGGAAGTAGCTGGTGCAGTGGATTCTTATCTTGTAGGAGAAGATGTTGGAAAGGTTTCTCTTATCTCTCTCTCTCTCTCTCTCTCTCTCTCTCTCTCTCTCAGGAAGCTTAGTGGTTACTTTTTGGTTCTAATTTTTGACTTCTCCAATTAAGTAGGTGTGTGACATGGAAGAGGCTCTGCAAATACCCATAATAAATGATCTCACCATGGTTTTGGGTTCTATATCTCAGGTATCATCTCAATTACCCAATATCTCTCGGTGGTTCCTTAGCCCTGTCTTATTTGAATGATTTGTTCATTGAATTCTTGGCAGTCAAAAGACACTGCTGTTGTTGTGGATTTCACGGACCCTTCTACAGTTTATGACAATGTCAAACAGGTTCACTCTTCAATCTCATTCACCAACTTCCAAAATTATTGTTACCAATAAATGCCGATAACTAGTATATTATAAAATTGTAACACATTAATATGGACTAANAATTCAATATAGTTGGAACTAAATATCAATTTTTGTCGAATCTTCACTAAGTTTTGTTTATATGCCTTGGTCCTAGTGCGTGAATGATAACACATATATAAGATACAAATGAATCATAAAAGTAGTTCAAGTAATAACAAAGGTACAAATGGTAAACTTAGACGTCGTGAGTTATAATCTTAGCAACCTCTTGGATCAAGTCATGAGAAATTTATCCCTCATGAATACCTTAGTCTTTGGACTTGGGAGGGAATTAATTGAGGTATATGTAAGTTAGTCCAGACACCCTTAATCGTCGAAAAAAAAATTTCATGTAGAAAGTGGTATAAAATTACATCCAATTGATATTAGATGCTGGAATAACCATATTAATTATCCCAATATTTTGCTATTCCCCAATATATTCAAAAATGCCACGGTCACACACGTATCCCTTCCAAGAAGAACTTTCAGAAGACACAAAAAACCTTATCTTATAAAGAAGAATGGCAGTGCTCAGCCTCAGAGAGTGACTTATCCACATTGGACTAAGACTATATTCAGCTGAGCAACAGTGGTGAAGCTTTTAGCAGCCATGGCAGCCTTGAGCTGCAATTTTAATCCAATAAATCATGAGAGTTGTGTAAAAGCCAAAACCACCAGGCTTTCCACCTCTTGCTCAATGCAGCCCTCTCAAAACAACATCAAGGTGATACTTTGATGTCACTCCTATTTCAAACATAATTTAGTTTTTTGTTCACAGAAACTAAGGTACCTCTCTCTCTCTCTCTCTTTATATATATATATATATATATATATATATATATATATATATATCTTGCTTGTGGAATAGGTAGTCATAAATGGAGCAGCCAAAGAAATAGGGAGGGCAGCTGTAGTTGCAGTGACAAAAGCTAGAGGGATGGAAGTAGCTGGTGCAGTGGATTCTTATCTTGTAGGAGAAGATGTTGGAAAGGTTTCTCTTATCTCTCTCTCTCTCTCTCTCTCTCTCTCTCTCTCTCTCAGGAAGCTTAGTGGTTACTTTTTGGTTCTAATTTTTGACTTCTCCAATTAAGTAGGTGTGTGACATGGAAGAGGCTCTGCAAATACCCATAATAAATGATCTCACCATGGTTTTGGGTTCTATATCTCAGGTATCATCTCAATTACCCAATATCTCTCGGTGGTTCCTTAGCCCTGTCTTATTTGAATGATTTGTTCATTGAATTCTTGGCAGTCAAAAGACACTGCTGTTGTTGTGGATTTCACGGACCCTTCTACAGTTTATGACAATGTCAAACAGGTTCACTCTTCAATCTCATTCACCAACTTCCAAAATTATTGTTACCAATAAATGCCGATAACTAGTATATTATAAAATTGTAACACATTAATATGGACTAAATTGGGTAATGTTTATACGTGGTATCTAATAGGCTACGGCATTTGGCATGAGAAGTGTGGTCTACGTGCCTCGGATTAAACCAGACACCGTTGCGGCGTTATCTGGGTTCTGTGAGAAGGCCAGCATGGTGAGCACTGGGTGAGATGTTACATCAATTTGCTTATCTTCCATATGTTCCTCTGTTTTTCAATAGTGCCTTGCAAATCAGAAAACTGTTTGAATCACTTAATGTCATCAAATCTATGGTGTTTGACACATTAATCTCAGGGTTGTCTGGTTGCACCAACTCTGTCCATAGGATCTATACTACTCCAGCAGGCTGCAATTTCTGCCTCCTTCCATTACAACAATGTCGAGATTGTTGAATCAAGGGCAAATGCAAGAGTAAGTCTCTTCAGAACTCAGCCAAAGCTAAAAATAATTCCTAATAAATCTCCATCTTGGTATTAATAACTTGATAGCAACATGTCAAGTTACTGATATTTTTCCCTTGTGAACAGGATTTGCCATCACAGGATGCAATACAAATTGCCAACAACCTCTCCAACATTGGTCAGATCTACAATAGAGATGACATTTTAACAGACGTTCTGGTAGGAAAAAACTCAAAATCCCATCATATTGATGTTACACATACAACATAAAATCAAACGAGCTAATAATAATATTGAGGAAAATCTACACATTGGTAATTGGTTGTATTAAAACCAGTAAATAGCATTAAGCAAAACAAACATGAGGATCCAATTTATCCAAGAGTACAGGAGTACATGAAGCTTTTCAATAAGGAAATACAGAATTTTGATAACCCCTCTGGATTCTAGCATTCTGACATGGTCCACCAACTTTTTTGTAATGCAAGGCAAGGGGTCAAGTTCTGGGAGAAGATGGAGTCCGTTTACATAGCTTGGTTCTTCCGGGGCTCCCAGCCAGTACAACAGTCTACTTCTCTGCACCAGGAGAGGTCCATTCTTTTCTTGGGAAGCATTGACAAACATTTCCTCCATGACATTAAAATCTCACTTCTAAGAATTGTTAATCGCAGGTTTACTCTGTCAAACACGATATCACAGATGTACGGTGTCTCATGCCAGGCCTAATCCTGGCCATCAGAAAAGTTGTCCGCCTTAAGGTACTTGAATATCGAAACCATTTTTCTTTACCCTTGAAGATTTTTTCTTCAGCACTCAGAGAGTAAAAATATTATCTAATTTCACCTTGGCAGAATCTGGTGTATGGGTTGGAGAAGTTTTTGTAGAAACCCAAGAGTTCCTCGACCTCCACAATGCGGGACTTAGCTTCTGGTATCAGTTTGATGGACTGCGTGTAAACAAAGTAATCATATGTACATGTATGTGAGAGGCAAATGTTAAGTGAAAAAAAATAAAAGCAGAAAATAACTTCTTTTTTTCCTCAAACAGTGTCGTGCAATTTCTTCAATAGTCAAAAGTCACTTTGTGAACTTAATGCAAGTTTGTCTCATATTCATTGAAGATCCAATCTTGATGAATGCTTTATTAAGTGGTAGATTCAGTAACAAAATAGAAGAACATGACGTTTCTTCCAACCATGACAAGTACTTGGCTACTTGAAGTTTACAACACAACAAATCAAAAGTCTAAAAAGAAGGTAGGTGAGGGGGAAAAAGATCATTACAAAGCAAGTTGTTAAGCAGCTTCCCTACCTACCATTTATAGCCTTCAACATATATGCAGCTAAGCCATAGGCTTCAAGGATCCCAAATGAATTAGAAGCCATAAGCTGGAATCTCAAGATCACTTGACCGCTGGAAGAATTGGATGTCTCCGTTGCCTTCCTAAAATAGAGTTTTGATATTAACTGGAGAACCAATGGGAATTTTCATTTCATGCAGTTACTTTTTCTCGACAATAACTAGTTCTTATATGAAGTATTTCCCTAATGAGAAGAGTTCAGTTGATTGATTTCTGTCTCATTCCAAATATCTTTCTCCAAGGCGATTATAAGCTGANCCAGGCCTAATCCTGGCCATCAGAAAAGTTGTCCGCCTTAAGGTACTTGAATATCGGAAACCATTTTTCTTTACCCTTGAAGATTTTTTCTTCAGCACTCAGAGAGTAAAAATATTATCTAATTTCACCTTGGCAGAATCTGGTGTATGGGTTGGAGAAGTTTTTGTAGAAACCCAAGAGTTCCTCGACCTCCACAATGCGGGACTTAGCTTCTGGTATCAGTTTGATGGACTGCGTGTAAACAAAGTTATCATATGTACATGTATGTGAGAGGCAAATGTTAAGTGAAAAAAATTAAAAGCAGAAAATAACTTCTTTTTTTCCTCAAACAGTGTCGTGCAATTTCTTCAATAGTCAAAAGTCACTTTGTGAACTTAATGCAAGTTTGTCTCATATTCATTGAAGATCCAATCTTGATGAATGCTTTATTAAGTGGTAGATTCAGTAACAAAATAGAAGAACATGACGTTTCTTCCAACCATGACAAGTACTTGGCTACTTGAAGTTTACAACACAACAAATCAAAAGTCTAAAAAGAAGGTAGGTGAGGGGGAAAAAGATCATTACAAAGCAAGTTGTTAAGCAGCTTCCCTACCTACCATTTATAGCCTTCAACATATATGCAGCTAAGCCATAGGCTTCAAGGATCCCAAATGAATTAGAAGCCATAAGCTGGAATCTCAAGATCACTTGACCGCTGGAAGAATTGGATGTCTCCGTTGCCTTCCTAAAATAGAGTTTTGATATTAACTGGAGAACCAATGGGAATTTTCATTTCATGCAGTTACTTTTTCTCGACAATAACTAGTTCTTATATGAAGTATTTCCCTAATGAGAAGAGTTCAGTTGATTGATTTCTGTCTCATTCCAAATATCTTTCTCCAAGGCGATTATAAGCTGATTGGCCAGGTTTTCATAGAATTTGAGGTGGTGATAGTAGACTCTTTACCAGGAGTTAATTGTAATCAATTTGAGATGACATGAGATTATTCTGCAAGCAACCTGCTCACAACCATAGAACATATTGTCGCCCAAATTGTGAGCCGATCTTAGAATAGACAACATCTTCATAAGTTAAAGATTTTCAGAAAGCTTGGGAATTTCATCTTCAATAGCTATCCACAGTCACAGTAATATTTCACAGTGTGGGATACACTATTTGATGTCTACNCACAATGCGGGACTTAGCTTCTGGTATCAGTTTGATGGACTGCGTGTAAACAAAGTTATCATATGTACATGTATGTGAGAGGCAAATGTTAAGTGAAAAAAATTAAAAGCAGAAAATAACTTCTTTTTTTCCTCAAACAGTGTCGTGCAATTTCTTCAATAGTCAAAAGTCACTTTGTGAACTTAATGCAAGTTTGTCTCATATTCATTGAAGATCCAATCTTGATGAATGCTTTATTAAGTGGTAGATTCAGTAACAAAATAGAAGAACATGACGTTTCTTCCAACCATGACAAGTACTTGGCTACTTGAAGTTTACAACACAACAAATCAAAAGTCTAAAAAGAAGGTAGGTGAGGGGGAAAAAGATCATTACAAAGCAAGTTGTTAAGCAGCTTCCCTACCTACCATTTATAGCCTTCAACATATATGCAGCTAAGCCATAGGCTTCAAGGATCCCAAATGAATTAGAAGCCATAAGCTGGAATCTCAAGATCACTTGACCGCTGGAAGAATTGGATGTCTCTGTTGCCTTCCTAAAATAGAGTTTTGATATTAACTGGAGAACCAATGGGAATTTTCATTTCATGCAGTTACTTTTTCTCGACAATAACTAGTTCTTATATGAAGTATTTCCCTAATGAGAAGAGTTCAGTTGATTGATTTCTGTCTCATTCCAAATCTTTCTCCAAGGCGATTATAAGCTAATTGGCCAGGTTTTCATAGAATTTGAGGTGGTGATAGTAGACTCTTTACCAGGAGTTAATTGTAATCAATTTGAGATGACATGAAATTATTCTGCAAGCTACCTGCTCACAACCATAGAACATATTGTCGCCCAAATTGTGAGCCGATCTTAGAATAGACAACATCTTCATAAGTTAAAAGATTTTCAGAAAGCTTGTGGAATTTCATCTTCAATAGCTATCCACAGTCACAGTAATATTTCACAGTGTGGGATACACTATTTGATGTCTTCTATTGTTTTGAGGACTGCAAGTATGCGTTTAGAGCACTAAAGAAACATTTCAATTTTTGAGTCATTTGAAATCTGATTTGGAGCACAAAGGTTTTACTAAAGGCAGTTCAAAAGGATGGATCATACCAGAAAATAACAAGACGGAATAAATTCAATTAAAACAAACGCATCCTAGAACCGCAATTCATGATTTGTTCACACATAGAAAGATTGACCTTTCATTGATTCCCTGTGATCACTCGTACTTTGTTTGGTCATTTATGAGAAGAATGCTTGCTTGATATGATCTTTCGATGCATTACATAAACTACTATAGCTTTAAAACTCTAGTATATGCTCCCTGAAGGCCAACATGGACAGTACACCAATACAACATGGAAAGGGATAATTAAATTGATTTTTACTTCTTACACATTAGCAGATCTTCAGAACAAATGAAAAATTGAGGATTGAGAGGATTATACTAACCATTTCCAATTCCACCTGGCACAATCAAGCATGCAAGCAGAAACTGAAAAGTGGAATAGCTTCCCCGATATCACTCATAGACTGAAAAAGCAATTCAGCGCATCAAAGACCATTCTAGAAGCATTACAAATCTATACGAATGTTTTTACCTTTAAATTTGTTAGCAATGGCTCCTATCCATGCTCTGTCTTTATCGCTATATGCATAACCGATGTTAGAAGCCAGCAGGACAAACCCCTCAGTCTTCTCCACCTGATTGTCTCTTTGGTTTGACGTTTGAAGCACCGGTTGTACAAGCACAGAACGAGTTCCCCTGGGAAGCATCTCCCAGAGGTCAGAATCTGAGGCAAATACGACACAAACATACTGATTATGAAACCATGACACAGTGGCAGTTTCTATTACATATAGCTATGGAATCGTATCCAAGCACTCATAAAACCAGAATCTAGAACTTCAGTTTCCATCAACAGCAAATGCTTATATGAAAAATGCATTAGCATTCCTTGGTACAATTAAAAACTACTTGCATAGAAGATCTCTGTTAAAGGCACATTTGGATGCATTTCAATATTTCCGGCCTTGAAACAAAATCACAGCTTTTGTTTAAACATGACATCATAATTAGGCTGCCCCACTATGCTACCTCCCAAAAAAGCCAACTAAACTCAAGGCAGTAGTAAACCAACTACTTGGGTTTGCTACCCAACAGTTTCAGATAGCAATCCTTTCATTTTGGAAGCCTACAATCTTTCTTCTACCTCTTGAAATCATAGCCCAACAAGCTTCCCATAGACAAGATGAGCTATAAACAGATCATAAGAGTTATAAATTCCCCAGGACTATGTCCTGCATCAATTAACGTATAACAACTCATTGAAATCTTGAACTGTTCTATCAAAATAATTTGAAAACAAAAAGAAGATAAATTAGTCAATTCCTCCAAGTGTTTAAAATTTCCTATTGCAAATGCCTCATATCAGGGTCCAGCAAACAAACTCTTTGAGTACATGTGATACCTCACCGAAACTGTACCCATTGGAAGAAGAATAGTTTCTCCATTTTGGTCAATAAAGCACTTCCTAACACATGCCACAGAGAATGGATCAGTAATATTACAGTTTCAGTATGATTGGCCGGGCACGGAAGCAAGCCAGATGACAATTGAGAGGGGAGAGGTGGGTGCAAGCCACAGCAAAAAAACGAAGCGATCAGGAATGCACAAAACCACCATATTGAAACTTAAATTTCTTTTTGAAATGCAGATACTTGTGTTTCTCTATATTACAAGGTTTCATTTGCTGATATGNATATTACAGTTTCAGTATGATTGGCCGGGCACGGAAGCAAGCCAGATGACAATTGAGAGGGGAGAGGTGGGTGCAAGCCACAGCAAAAAAATGAAGCAATCAGGAATGCACAAAACCACCATATTGAAACTTAAATTTCTTTTTGAAATGCAGATACTAGTGTTTCTCTATATTACAAGGTTTCATTTGCTGATAAGNCAGTTACTTTTTCTCGACAATAACTAGTTCTTATATGAAGTATTTCCCTAATGAGAAGAGTTCAGTTGATTGATTTCTGTCTCATTCCAAATCTTTCTCCAAGGCGATTATAAGCTAANAGTTGTCGTTGCAGCTCACATGGAAGCAGAAAAAACTATGCAGGATGCCTTAAGAATAAACAATGACATCTCATGATTCCCTGTCATGTAGAACCATAGTGTTGAAAATAGACAAACAAGTTGTTATAATTATTTCCTTAAGTGACAACGTAGAAAAAGGATAAGCTAGAAGANACATCTCATGATTCCCTGTCATGTAGAACCATAGTGTTGAAAATAGACAAACAAGTGTTATAATTATTTCCTTAAGTGACAACGTAGAAAAAGGATAAGCTAGAAGACACCTGCATTCTGGGGAAAATAAAGGGTATCCTTCAAAGTAGAGAGGCCAACACGTTCAATCTGTTCCTTAAACCAGTCAAGTGCATGACTTTTTGATATCTCCTCAGGTGTATTCCAATAACCACGCACGCATAATGCATCTTGAATCAATATGAGCTAGCAAATCAATAATATTAGTGTACTGAAGGTTAATTCTCTAAAGAACCAAAGTAACTGATTTTAACTTTTGGATTGTAGAATAAAAAAGATGGTTGATTTTCTCATTAAGACAACAGTAAATTATCAGTAGATTATGTGTTCAATTCGAATATAGACATGGTTAAACCTGGAACATACCACAGATACGGTTTTTGTATTGCGCAACAGAATGTATGTTCCCCAAGCCAAATCCTCCTTCAGAGTGTCTAAAATATTTTGGGACATGAGAAAAATTTGCACAGCCCCTTCAGGGAGAACTATTTTATCCACTGGAGTAGCACCCTGCAAAATTTTCCCAAATACCAGGTTTTAGAAATGTTGAGCAGTCATGGCATAGCAGACCTGTACACAAATGCAAATAAGTAATTGTAATTTAAAGGTCTGTAAATCTCGCCCAATCATAAGCTTTAATCTGGTTCATCACTTCAGTAGAAGGTTTATTCTTTCATTTCAAACTGTTAATTCCATACAGTACCTATGTAAGACATCCCTAAGGCCAAGAGAATCTGGAAATACACAGGCAAGATGCACCTTCAAGATACCTGCTCTGTATTAACACAAAAGCAAGCTTATAGAATGGGGCAATATAAGCTAGAATTCTTTGTTTGTGAGGATCTACTTAGGTTTCAGTACAGTGGAAGCCTGTTGTTGATTCTGCAGTTCATGACAATAAATTACGATTGATGACTTGATTATGCAAATTCTCATGCCAAACAACCACACACAGCTTAATCGGAAGTTGTAAATCATCCAAATGGCCATGTATCTCCACGACATAGACGAGGCATACAATTCTATTCAACTTGGAGGATAGGGGCAAGATTCCAATGCATAATCACCCAAATTTTACACATCACTATTAAAACAAAACCAACTTACATTACAATACCATGTTTCAGTGTTTGCCAAGATGAGTCTACAGGTAATTTTACAATACTTCTATTGCTAAAATATCATAAAATTTCAGGCTTTGAACCTCTTTTGAATTGGTTAACATAGCAGTACAGTGATTTACTGTGGACACCTAAGGGTTACATGATACCCCCAATATTTCATCATTCCATACAGAAAGAACACTCTAATATCAAATACTTATTGGTCTTCAACGAGTTGAACTGTATCAAATTTCCGAACTTAAAACCCCCTCGACCCATTACCCAAAAAGAAAACACTCCTTACCCTTCAGCTAAGTTTTCATAGGGGGCATGAATAACTACCCATTTGCATCACAAGGTAATTATAAATTCCAAAGTTGCAGACCCTACTTTTTTAGAACAACATAACGAGTGGAAGAGAGGTTTCATCCAGAAAATGAGAAGCAGAAGCATTTATCATCTGAATGGTAACGTACAAAAGTAAGTGAAGAAAAAAGACTTTCTCAGTCGTTATTGCTTATATTATTCCATATGTCTTGAACCCAATGAACATGAGCACAAGTTTCTACATTTTCCTTGATTAAAGACTTTTCTCTTCAGCTAGTTCGCCAACCAAACAGAATGCTAAAGCTTTTACCTTGAGAAATTTTCCAAGGTAGGGAAGCACAACTGAGAATGCGGCCAAAGAGAGTCCCAACACCTCTGTTCTCTACACAGGAAGATAAAATCCAAAAGATGCTATAACCAAAACTTAACAAAAACAAAAAAAGAGGGTTTGCTCACAAGCTGTGCTGGCGTTATTGTGGCCAAATCCGAACCCACGAAATGGTTCAACAGCAAAAGCGAACCAAAAGCATAGCCAATGTATCTGGGTAAGTATGATTCGTCCAAGCCAGGTATTCCTGAAAGCGCACGCCTTTAAACACAAACATACACAGAAAGAGATGGGTGATATATGTGCTTACCGAGAGTGAAGCGAAGAACAGAGAGGTTGATTTGCTGTTGATTTGTGGTTGTTTGAGAGTTGTCGAGAGGAATACAAGTGATTTTTGATGGAATTGTTTTTCTGGTGTGGAATTTGGAGAGAAGATGAGTTCTGGCGCGAATTTCTAACGGAAACGTTGACAGAATTAACGGATTCTGAGTGAAACGCCCCCTCATTTTCTGTATCTTTCCTCTTTCTGGGAGATGAGAAAATGTTTGGCCTTCGAAGATACCAAAAATGCGTATCCGAGTTTTTGACACTCCATTACTCATGATAGACACTAGTTCTACCGGAAAGAGCGAGTCTAACATTTGCACCACACGCGCTTTCTAAGAGCGTCTCCTACAATCGAACACTTAGTTCGAATTTGATTTTTCAAGAGTTTCACTTATCTAATTATCTATATTTTTTTTTATTTTTTCTCCTTGTTGAATTATTACTTAGGTATTTTTAATAAATTAAGAACATAATATAAATAATATAATTGTAAAGGGTAGAAATCGCTACGGATCTCATCCCTCCACTTGAAGGATTCCGGCTGACCTGGCGGCACCGAGCCCCAGTAGCCTTTACCTCTCTTCGTCAATAGGACCCTTTCCTAAGGCAATCCCACATCGGAAGAGAGTCGTCTTCCCCCTTGTCATATAAATGAACACTTCCTATGAAGGAGGTACCCACTAGCTACCTAATCAGGTGTCTAGTGGGTACCTCCTCCATAGGAAGTGTTCACTTATATGGCAGGGGGAAGACGACTCTCTTCCGATGTGAGATTGTCTTAAAAAAGGGTCGGAATTCTTCAAGTGGAGGGATGAAATCCGTAGCGATTTCTACCCTTTACAATAATATTTAAAAATATAAAATAAAAATATATAAATCTTTGAGGATGAAAAATAAAATTCGCCCGTTGTCTTAGCTTAAACGTGAACGTATCTGGTCATGGTTCAGGTAGAAACCCATCCTGTCATTTGATCAACAATTTAGATTATGCCACGTAACCCGTCAAACCCGACGACCTCTCGTCGCTACCGACCGATTTAGCACCGATTGCGTACTCCAATCATCCCACGACACGTTTTCCTCAACAACCCCTTATAGCCGGTTCCGTAGGGTTGTTCCACCGGTGCAGCCGGTCACTCGTCCGTGCAATTCCCGCGAGATAAATAGGCGCGGTCTCTCTCTCTCTCTCTCTGCCATTGCAGTTCCGAAGAGCGCGTCACCTAGATTTTCTTTTTCTAGCTCCAAGTGTCGAGGTTCGAAGCAGTTCTTTCTCCTTCTATTAGTGCTATTATTTTTTGTCCAATTTTATTGTTACATCGATCTCATGAACTGTAAAGTTTCAATTTTACCAAAGAACATTCCTTTTTTTGACTAATTTCTATTTTGTGTGTATTTAATCATGAATTGGTGCGTAGTCTGTATGTGATTTCAAAAGCAAAAGCTTTCATTGAGTTCGAACATTGTACATATCAGTAATTTAGGACTTCCAATACTAACAGTGTTGAGTTCGATCATCTTTTGCGGCTCCATGTGGCCGTGATAGATTTGGGTTTGATTTGCTTAATCAATTAGTTAATTGAGCGATTTCTTTTACATTACGACTTGCTACTGTTGAACAATTTTGGGCTTTCCTCATAGTATAAATCTTAGTGTCCTTGGCACGCTTTGTTAGAATTAGGGTTTGTTTGGAGCTAGTCTTTTGGGGGAACTAGAATGATCATTCCAATTTCGTGTTTCTAACTGGGTATTTATATATGACTTATATTTCGGGTGTCCTAGGTTTCTTTTTTATGTGCTTGTTTAGCCAGGTATTTTAGTGACTGATGATTTTCTGCTATATTTTTTAGTTGATTTGAAGGTGCTTGCATCAAGTTCTTACAAAGGTAGAATGGTTAAGAACCTTGGAAACATTAGGTCACTCGAGAACCTGTGGATTTACGGTTGAGATTGGTGATACAAAGGACAGGTTTTGATTGTGCTGTGGGTTTGAGTAAACAGGGATAAAGTTGTAAATCATAATAGTTGGGATTTGCCGGCGGCATGGTATTAAGGTTGTTTTGCTTGAGAGTAATCAAAAAGTTCCGTTGAGCAGGGATTAAGTTTATTCCCTTATATCGGGAGTTAAAAGGCCTGGCACTGGATAGCTACTTGGATACCGGCCACCAATTGGCAGTGTCGCCCATGGCGCCCTCTCGAGTGGCTGGAGGAATGTCACATTCTTCTTCAAGTTCTGGCATCTTTTTCCAACGAGATTCACAGTCTCAGACTGTGGGGAACCCTCACTTGAGTTCATCTTTTGGGAACTCAAATTCTGTTCCTGGAAATGCACGTTCAAACTTGGGTCCTGTTTCTGGAGATGTAAGTACTACGCTCTTGAACAGTGTGGCAAGCTCGGGGCCAAGTGTTGGGGCAAGTTCGTTGGTGACAGATGCCAACTCAGGACTATCGGGAGGTCCTAATCTCCAGAGAAGTGCTAGCTTCAATACAGAGTCTTACATGCGCTTACCTGCGTCACCCATCTCGTTCTCATCCAATAATATAAGTATTTCAGGCTCATCAGTTATGGATGGCTCATCTGTAGTGAAGCAGAGCTCCCACCAAGACCCAAACACTCAACAAGTACAGCAAAATCAGCAGCTTCAAGGGGCTTCCAGTGCCACATCCCTGGCCACATCACGAATGGTACAAGTTCCACTTCCCACTGGTCCAAGGATACCTGGGTCCTACATTCAGGAGCCCAATAATATGTCCCAGTTGCAGAAGAAACCCCGATTGGATATCAAGCAGGAAGATATAGTGCAGCATCAGGTTTTACAACAGCTAATGAATAGACAAGACACTATGCAGTTACAAAATACCAATCCTCAGTTGCAAGCTGTGATTCAGCAGCAGAGGCTAAGGCAACAGCAGCAACAATTGCNAGCATCAGGTTTTACAACAGCTAATGAATAGACAAGACACTATGCAGTTACAAAATCCCAATCCTCAGTTGCAAGCTGTGATTCAGCAGCAGAGGCTAAGGCAACAGCAGCAACAATTACNGGCGTTATTGTGGCCAAATCCGAACCCACGAAATGGTTCAACAGCAAAAGCGAACCAAAAGCATAGCCAATGTATCTGGGTAAGTATGATTCGTCCAAGCCAGGTATTCCTGAAAGCGCACGCCTTTAAACACAAACATACACAGAAAGAGATGGGTGATATATGTGCTTACCGAGAGTGAAGCGAAGAACAGAGAGGTTGATTTGCTGTTGATTTGTGGTTGTTTGAGAGTTGTCGAGAGGAATACAAGTGATTTTTGATGGAATTGTTTTTCTGGTGTGGAATTTGGAGAGAAGATGAGTTCTGGCGCGAATTTCTAACGGAAACGTTGACAGAATTAACGGATTCTGAGTGAAACGCCCCCTCATTTTCTGTATCTTTCCTCTTTCTGGGAGATGAGAAAATGTTTGGCCTTCGAAGATACCAAAAATGCGTATCCGAGTTTTTGACACTCCATTACTCATGATAGACACTAGTTCTACCGGAAAGAGCGAGTCTAACATTTGCACCACACGCGCTTTCTAAGAGCGTCTCCTACAATCGAACACTTAGTTCGAATTTGATTTTTCAAGAGTTTCACTTATCTAATTATCTATATTTTTTTTTATTTTTTCTCCTTGTTGAATTATTACTTAGGTATTTTTAATAAATTAAGAACATAATATAAATAATATAATATTTAAAAATATAAAATAATAATATATAAATATTTGAGGATGAAAAATAAAATTCGCCCGTTGTCTTAGCTTAAACGTGAACGTATCTGGTCATGGTTCAGATAGAAACCCATCCTGTCATTTGATCAACAATTTAGATTATGCCACGTAACCCGTCAAACCCGACGACCTCTCGTCGCTACCGACCGATTTAGCACCGATTGCGTACTCCAATCATCCCACGACACGTTTTCCTCAACAACCCCTTATAGCCGGTTCCGTAGGGTTGTTCCACCGGTGCAGCCGGTCACTCGTCCGTGCAATTCCCGCGAGATAAATAGGCGCGGTCTCTCTCTCTCTCTCTCTGCCATTGCAGTTCCGAAGAGCGCGTCACCTAGATTTTCTTTTTCTAGCTCCAAGTGTCGAGGTTCGAAGCAGTTCTTTCTCCTTCTATTAGTGCTATTATTTTTTGTCCAATTTTATTGTTACATCGATCTCATGAACTGTAAAGTTTCAATTTTACCAAAGAACATTCTTTTTTTTGACTAATTTCTATTTTGTGTGTATTTAATCATGAATTGGTGCGTAGTCTGTATGTGATTTCAAAAGCAAAAGCTTTCATTGAGTTCGAACATTGTACATATCAGTAATTTAGGACTTCCAATACTAACAGTGTTGAGTTCGATCATCTTTTGCGGCTCCATGTGGCCGTGATAGATTTGGGTTTGATTTGCTTAATCAATTAGTTAATTGAGCGATTTCTTTTACATTACGACTTGCTACTGTTGAACAATTTTGGGCTTTCCTCATAGTATAAATCTTAGTGTCCTTGGCACGCCTTGTTAGAATTAGGGTTTGTTTGGAGCTAGTCTTTTGGGGAAACTAGAATGATCATTCCAATTTCGTGTTTCTAACTGGATNTCCGGCTGACCTGGCGGCACCGAGCCCCAGTAGCCTTTACCTCTCTTCGTCAATAGGACCCTTTCCTAAGGCAATCCCACATCGGAAGAGAGTCGTCTTCCCCCTTGTCATATAAATGAACACTTCCTATGAAGGAGGTACCCACTAGCTACCTAATCANTAGGTTTCTTTTTTATGTGCTTGTTTAGCCAGGTATTTTAGTGACTGATGATTTTCCGCTATATTTTTTAGTTGATTTGAAGGTGCTTGCATCAAGTTCTTACAAAGGTTGAATGGTTAAGAACCTTGGAAACATTAGGTCACTCGAGAACCTGTGGATTTACGGTTGAGATTGGTGATTCNCTCCTCCATAGGAAGTGTTCACTTATATGGCAGGGGGAAGACGACTCTCTTCCGATGTGAGATTGTCTTAAAAAAGGGTCGGAATTCTTCAAGTGGAGGGATGAAATCCGTAGCGATTTCTACCCTTTACAATAATATTTAAAAATATAAAATAAAAATATATAAATCTTTGAGGATGAAAAATAAAATTCGCCCGTTGTCTTAGCTTAAACGTGAACGTATCTGGTCATGGTTCAGGTAGAAACCCATCCTGTCATTTGATCAACAATTTAGATTATGCCACGTAACCCGTCAAACCCGACGACCTCTCGTCGCTACCGACCGATTTAGCACCGATTGCGTACTCCAATCATCCCACGACACGTTTTCCTCAACAACCCCTTATAGCCGGTTCCGTAGGGTTGTTCCACCGGTGCAGCCGGTCACTCGTCCCTGCAATTCCCGCGAGATAAATAGGCGCGGTCTCTCTCTCTCTCTCTGCCATTGCAGTTCCGAAGAGCGCGTCACCTAGATTTTCTTTTTCTAGCTCCAAGTGTCGAGGTTCGAAGCAGTTCTTTCTCCTTCTATTAGTGCTATTATTTTTTGTCCAATTTTATTGTTACATCGATCTCATGAACTGTAAAGTTTCAATTTTACCAAAGAACATTCCTTTTTTTGACTAATTTCTATTTTGTGTGTATTTAATCATGAATTGGTGCGTAGTCTGTATGTGATTTCAAAAGCAAAAGCTTTCATTGAGTTCGAACATTGTACATATCAGTAATTTAGGACTTCCAATACTAACAGTGTTGAGTTCGATCATCTTTTGCGGCTCCATGTGGCCGTGATAGATTTGGGTTTGATTTGCTTAATCAATTAGTTAATTGAGCGATTTCTTTTACATTACGACTTGCTACTGTTGAACAATTTTGGGCTTTCCTCATAGTATAAATCTTAGTGTCCTTGGCACGCTTTGTTAGAATTAGGGTTTGTTTGGAGCTAGTCTTTTGGGGAAACTAGAATGATCATTCCAATTTCGTGTTTCTAACTGGGTATTTATATATGACTTATATTTCGGGTGTCCTAGGTTTCTTTTTTATGTGCTTGTTTAGCCAGGTATTTTAGTGACTGATGATTTTCTGCTATATTTTTTAGTTGATTTGAAGGTGCTTGCATCAAGTTCTTACAAAGGTAGAATGGTTAAGAACCTTGGAAACATTAGGTCACTCGAGAACCTGTGGATTTACGGTTGAGATTGGTGATACAAAGGACAGGTTTTGATTGTGCTGTGGGTTTGAGTAAACAGGGATAAAGTTGTAAATCATAATAGTTGGGATTTGCCGGCGGCATGGTATTAAGGTTGTTTTGCTTGAGAGTAATCAAAAAGTTCCGTTGAGCAGGGATTAAGTTTATTCCCTTATATCGGGAGTTAAAAGGCCTGGCACTGGATAGCTACTTGGATACCGGCCACCAATTGGCAGTGTCGCCCATGGCGCCCTCTCGAGTGGCTGGAGGATTGTCACATTCTTCTTCAAGTTCTGGCATCTTTTTCCAACGAGATTCACAGTCTCAGACTGTGGGGAACCCTCACTTGAGTTCATCTTTTGGGAACTCAAATTCTGTTCCTGGAAATGCACGTTCAAACTTGGGTCCTGTTTCTGGAGATGTAAGTACTACGCTCTTGAACAGTGTGGCAAGCTCGGGGCCAAGTGTTGGGGCAAGTTCGTTGGTGACAGATGCCAACTCAGGACTATCGGGAGGTCCTAATCTCCAGAGAAGTGCTAGCTTCAATACAGAGTCTTACATGCGCTTACCTGCGTCACCCATCTCGTTCTCATCCAATAATATAAGTATTTCAGGCTCATCAGTTATGGATGGCTCATCTGTAGTGAAGCAGAGCTCCCACCAAGACCCAAACACTCAACAAGTACAGCAAAATCAGCAGCTTCAAGGGGCTTCCAGTGCCACATCCCTGGCCACATCACGAATGGTACAAGTTCCACTTCCCACTGGTCCAAGGATACCTGGGTCCTACATTCAGGAGCCCAATAATATGTCCCAGTTGCAGAAGAAACCCCGATTGGATATCAAGCAGGAAGATATAGTGCAGCATCAGGTTTTACAACAGCTAATGAATAGACAAGACACTATGCAGTTACAAAATACCAATCCTCAGTTGCAAGCTGTGATTCAGCAGCAGAGGCTAAGGCAACAGCAGCAACAATTGCTGCAGTCTATGCCACCAGTGCAACGGGCCCACTTTCTACAGCAGCAGCAGCAGCAGTTGCAATTGAGACAACAGCTTCAACAGCAGGGCATGCAGCCTGTATCAACCTTGAAGCGCCCCTATGATGGTGGTGTTTGTGTTCGTCGGCTGATGCAATATTTATATCATCAGCGGCAACGGCCAGCTGTGAGTTGATAGCTTACTGCATTTGGTTATATCCATCTTTCTTTGTTTATTCCTTTTCCTTTTTTTCGCCTTCTAACCTCTAGGTATCTATTTCTTCTGATTGGGTATGGACACATTCACTCAGTCACTGGTTGTATTATTTCATTTCTCACTGCAGTTGTATACAGAGATCAATGGTTTTTGCATAATGATGACCTTCAATTATTTTAACAGGACAACACTATTGCCTACTGGAGGAAATTTGTGGCAGAGTATTATTCTCCCCGTGCAAAGAAAAGGTGGTGCTTGTCATTATATGAGAACGTTGGCCATCATTCACTCGGTGTATTCCCTCAGGCAGCCATGGTTAGGCTTTTGGTTGTAGATATATAGACTGAACTTTTAATTGATTGCAAATGTATCCATCTCTTCTGATTGATTTGCATGCATAATTATGTTCACTTCTTTGTGTGCGTCCTTTCTTGCAATGCTTTCAGACAAGTTATACTTTCATTGTTTTCTCTGCTTTTCCTCTCAAGCAAAGTTTCTTATGTGTTGTTTTCCTTATATTTTTTCACCAGGATGCATGGCAGTGTGATATTTGTGGTTCAAAATCTGGA